GAGGGCGCGGACCCCGCTCGGCCTCCGCCTCGTCCTCTTCGTCCGTCGCTTCGGCCTCTGCCGTCGCCGGCGGCTCCCTGGGCCGCGGCTCAGCGCGCAGAGCTCGCGCCCACGACGTGGAGATGGTGGGCCAGCTCGTGGGCATCATGGTGGTGTCCTGCTTCTGCTGGAGCCCCCTGCTGGTGAGGGGCGCACACGCCCCTCCAACCTTGTTCCTGCTCCCTCCTCCGCCCCTCCCACGCTTTTCCATCCTGGGATACCTGGGTCCTCTCCCTGACCCAGCCAAGGCTCTGCCCCCTCGAGGCCCCGCCTGCCAGCCCACGCTTTGCCTTGGCTCCTTCTGATGTCCCACTTCTCCCAGTCCCCTTATCCTACTCTTTCCTGGGGTCTCTGTAGTTCATCCCGACCCATGCCAGCCTCCCCTTCAACCCCACCCGTCTAGGTGCCTTAATTCCCTAGCCTCCTCCCACTAACACCACCCCTTTTCTCTTCTCTTTAACCCCTTTGTCCTTTGGGATACCTATGACTTCTTTCTTGCCTGGGCGCACATCCGCCGAAGGCCTTTGCTTCTGCCACGCCCTCTACCCCGCCTCTCTCGCTTCTTCCCTCTCCACAGCTCCTTCCCAATTAGACTCCTGTTTACTCTCACTGTGGCGCTCCGTGCCTCCTCACAGCCACCTTACTTTCCAGACACGCCCCCATCCATCACAGTCCTTACCCTTCGCCGGCCCCCCTTCCTTCACCACCCCACTGCTGACACCTTCTTCTCCCGCAGGTGTTGGTGGTGCTGGCCATCGCGGGTTGGGGCTCTAACTCCCTGCAGCGGCCGCTGTTTTTGGCCGTGCGCCTCGCTTCGTGGAACCAGATTTTGGACCCCTGGGTGTACATTCTCCTGCGCCAAGCCGTTCTTCGCCAACTGCTTCGCCTCCTGCCCTCAAGGGCCGGCGCCAAGGGCAGTCCCGCGGGTCTGGACCTAACCAGGAGCGTTTGGGAGGCCAGCTCGCTGCGCAGCTCCCGGCACAGTGGCCTCAGTCAATTCTAGGTGCGCCCGGCGGCTTAACTAGACCACCCCGGGCCTCGGGTCCGCACCGTGGAGACTTCGGGGAATAAAGGTTTTTGTGGACAAGCCCAGGGCAGTGTGTCCCGTCGGAGATGCAGCACCCTCATGGCCGCGCGGGGGCGGCAGAGGCGCTTCATGCGTCTCTCGGGTGTGGCTCCTGGGCTTGCCACGAGGGGGCGTAGAGACGCAGTGCCGGAGCCGCAGGAGCATGCGCACAACGCCCCGACCGCAGTCCTGGGGCGGGGGCTCTGCTGGGAGCAGAGCGAGGGAGTTGAGGGGTGCTTCTTGCCCCAGCAGCTGCCAGGACTGACTCTCCCAACCATTCACTGACTATGGCCCTGACTACCCCAAAACAATCCCAAGGCCCTACCCCCAAACTACGCCCCACCACAGGCCTCTAACTCCCCACATCCCTCAACACAGCTCCGAGCCCCCTCCCATCGCGGCCTGCCTACGCTCCCCACCATAGTAACAGTCCCGAGTCCCCACCACCACTTGGCCCTCTTCAGATGGCCCTCACCATAATCCAAGACATCTCCCCATCACTCCTTCGCCACTCTTCGCATCCACCCCCATCCCAACTCTACCCACCTCCAAGCACGCCCCCCACTTCATTACTGTGCACAAGATGAGACGGAGGATGCATGGATGGGGAAAACCCCAAAGGCCCTTTAAAAACTACTAACAGCTCTGTCGGGGCAAGGGTCGGGGGGAGGGGGCTAGCAGCACCCGGCCACGAAGTCGAAGTCCTGGAAAGCGGCCTGCTCCGTGGCGGTGAGGGGCCGAGCGTCGCGGGGTGGGCTCAGCGTGGGGGCCTCCCCTGTGAATTCCTCGTCGAAGTTGCTGACATCAGTGCGGCCAGACAGCGTGGGTACGAAAGGCGGCGGCAAGCGCCGGGCCAACAGGGCGTCCCAGCCCAGTGTCTGCAGGGAAGGGAGAGGGGAGGTCAGCAGGGGAGGCTGTGGGCAGACCGCAGGAGGGGTCCCCTCCTTGCTCTCTGTCCAGCTCTAGATCTATGGGGTCAACAAAGGGAGTCACAAGATAGACGGGGAAAGTGGGAGGCCTGGGGACCCAGGAAGGATCACAGTGTGAGTGATGGAGGGAGGCTCTGGGGGTCCCTTCCGGGCAATCCTGGGCTCATACACAGGAAGTGCTCCCGACCAGGCCAGCCTGGAGCAACTGTGGGTGTAGGAGGGCCAGCGGGGGTGAAGGACGGGGAAGGAGAAGCAGGCAGGTATCAAGGAGAGGTGACAATGTTGGAGGTGAAGCCACTAGGCCTGGGGGGTGGGACTTCACCCTGAAGAAAGGCTGTTTTTTCACATCCTCTGCATCCCTCTCGCTGGACCCCAACCTCCGCTCTGGATTCCTTCGCAGCAGCTGGGGGAAGGGAGTGCCGTGTCAGTTTTCCCCTTGCGGGCCCCAGAGCCACTCCCTTGGCCCATCCCAAGTTGGGAGTCCTCACCCTGCGCATGATGCCAATGGCTTCAGCTGACAGGAAGCGGGGGTAGCGAACCTCATCATTGACAATGCTGTCAAATACTTCCTCCTCGTCGTCCCCTGGGAACGGGGACTGCGGACAGGGAGAGCCGGGGTGAATTAGGCCCTTCTGGTGGCACCATACTCAGCTCCACCCAGAGCCCCAGCTGTGCCTTCACATGGCTCACTTGGGAGGGTAAGTACCCCATTTACAGATGCAGAAACTGAGGTCAGGGAGACAGGGCCACCTGCCCCCAACCAGACAGCACATGGGGAGGCCAATTTTGATCACCCTCCAACCCCTGCCCACCGGGCACACACCGGTACCAGGGAGCAGCCTGGGGCCTGCTTTACCTCGCCAACCAGCATCTCATAGAGCAGCACGCCCAGCCCCCACCAGTCCACTGCCCGGGTGTACGATGTGTCCGTCAGCACCTCAGGTGCCAGGAACTCTGGGGTCCCGCAGAATGTGCTGGTCCGGTCCCCATAGCCCATCCCTGGGGACAGCAGAGCCATATGAGGTTATGGTGGGGAGGGGAGGCAGCTCTAGCCCAGCCCAGCCTGAGGTGGTCCAGCCAACCAGCCCTGTCCTAGGACCAGAGTACAGGGTAACCCAGGTAGGGCTGGGGACTCTATTCCCTCCCCTTTCTGTCTAAACCCCAGAGGCCAGCCCCTCAGATCCCCGCCCCGCCCCTCACCCTCCTTGCAGAGGCCAAAGTCTGCGATCTTGACATAGCCCTCGGTGTCCAGGAGCAAATTGTCCAACTTCAGGTCCCTGTGAGGGAGTGGGGGGATGTAGAGATGGATGAGTGGGGATCTGGGCCCTGCCTGAAACCTGAGGGCCCCCAAGTGAGCAGAGCGTGCATGCATGAGCACGTGCATGCACACACGACACGACACACACC